TTTCGCCAGGTTTCGCCAATTTCGCCAGGTTTCGCCAGTTTCGCCGGGGAGTTTCGTCTTTCGTCTTTCGCCAGGTTTAGGTTTCGTCTTTCGCCATTTGCCCAAAACAGTTTCGCCTAACAACACTACCTCCACGCATATCATGCGACCAAAACAAAATTGAATCGTTGCACAAATACGAGTTCCTGCTAAGTAGTGACAGTTTCAGTTTCTAATTCCACTCTAATCTTTTTTTGTATTGATCTATCGTAATAACTCATACAAGGGGATCCCCAAAATTCCGGGTCGGAATACTTCGGAATCATGATCGGCAGGGCCGGAATTAACTAATTTTAAGTAAAGCTGCCCAGCTGATAATTTTGACCCAGAAATGGTTAACTTATATTACTAAATGCCGGGCTAAATCCGATGGTTCCGACCCGGAATTTTGGGGATCCCCCTGTATGAGTTATCGTAATATGAATACCGTCTAAATGCTAATCGATGATATACTGTATAATGCGTAATTGAAAGCATATATACTTGACCTCAATAAATGATAATGAAATTTATTTTGTCAGCACTCATATTAAATTTAAGTTATACTACACTTGACTTTACTTCAAAAAAGAAATCCATTATATATGTTATAAGTGGATTCAGAATTTTTATATATAAAACCAGCATTTGGGCACTTGGCTACTTGGCTGGTCAATAGTAATATGATTGGTTAATATTCTATAAATTAGAAATTTTTGGTTGAATGTTAGCGTTAGTTGGCCAGCCCCAAAGATGGTTTGGCCGAAAAAAATTGCCAAAACTGCCATAACCCTAATTTAACTAGGAAATTCAAAATCCAATTCCTATATATATGTAATTCTTTTTTTTACTGGTCTTTTTCAAAAATCCAAAGATAAATTAAATAATACCCGGGGCATTGTGTGAAGAGGAATGTATTGTATGTATAACAAGATTAACGGTAAGTTTCGTAAATCAAATTTTTTCATGTATTTTGAACACGTGATATTTAGTTTCTGAGATCGTGATTTAAGAGTCACAATGATAAATAATATATAGTTATTTAGCATGTACTAACATATTAGATACCCAAGTACGATTTTTGTAGTATACTCTACTACTTTACTAAACTACTATTCGTAATACCAATCATGAGTAAGCTACCAGATAATACATTAATACTGGCCAAACTTTTTTAAATCTAGTACTTTATATACAGCATGATGAAAATTATACAAAGTGTTCTAAACAAATTCATGAACGTAATAAATTATGGGTCAGTATGATTTCATGATAAATATTTTACCGACAAGCCAACCAGTAGGGTTGTTAGTGGAGTGCTCCAGTCAATAATAAAACTTATCCGACATTTTATATGATGTGAATTTTTTTGCCACGATATTTTTTGCACGAAATTACGTAATCAATTTTGCAAAATATTCCGGAAAAACTTCACATGCTCATATATAAACCGGATAACACCATTATTGGGAATACGATAAATAACGGAAATTTTTTTCGTCCGACAAAAAATTTTTCGTTATCTTTCATCTGCTGCCCAATAATGTATACATATAACCCACTCCGGAGCACTTAAGAAGTGGGTTATGTTTTATTGTAGTCTGGATACTCCATTAACAACCCTACGAACCGGTATCAGTTAACGTGACAATTTACAAATTATATATGCTAAATTTTCACGTCATGTGATGCCAGTTAAATGACTTGCGATTCCCGAAAGTATTTACCCGACAGGCCACTTAACCGACATCATGAGGGTGACAATTGCTAAAATATATACCCGCAGCTAACCTAACCCTATGTGATGTCGGGTAAGTGGCCTGTCGGGAAAATAACTTTCGGGAATTGAATTTAGGCTGATCGACACCTAAGGCAAGAATCGATCTGAAGCAAACATACACATATAATGTGTAAATTCTCTGCGTATCTTAAAAATATTATTCTAATTTTAAAAAAATAAAACAGTAAAATAATTTAGCTACAAATTAGCGGCTTTCTTTTTTTAATCTTATTTTTAGATCAAAAACTATTGACTTTTAAAATTTATGTAGTCTTTAAGTGTTGCGTAAACCGTACAAATTACCGATATGATTGCCTGAATCGTTTCCATGAGATTTTCTCTCTCCTGTAGTTCGTTAACTGGTTATCCTCCCGAAATGTTCCGATATTATTCTATTTTTGAATTTAATTAACATGAGTAATTCTTATATGTCATTAGATTAAATAAGTATCGTGATAGTTTAAATGAAATCAGTCTAAAATAGAAAGTATAAAATACAAATTTTATGGTGCATTTTTTTGAGGGTTAAGGGTAGAAATTTCGGTTTAATCTGATTAAATATTAATTTTTTGAACTAGATTCATTAAAATATTAAAATAAATGTTATATGGCATGTTGTAAAAAAAAAAAAATCGAGTTTTGAGTGAGTATATCACAAGATACATTCATTTGATTAGCATTGTTTTTTTACAATGATGTGCATGCATTTTGATGCTGAATGCATGCACCAAAATTTTTTTCATCTTTACTAAAAAAAAAAAATTGAGATTGGCATTCTATCAAAGTCCTTAGGGATATAAAGCTGTCATATAAGCTTATCAGTTTCCACCAACCATGTATATTTTCCTTGATATTGCCAATAAGGTCTATGTATGTGCATAGAATTAGAACCTCTAACTTTTGGAACCATAACGATAAAGTGAAAATATGTAGTCAAAATTTTGTTTTCTTGAAACGCCATATTCACTGGTGCAGAATTTACACTACTAAAAAGGAAAGGGCTCAATAATTCCAGTCCAAGTTTCCGCAATTATTAGTCACTTTGATCAAAATACTATTGCGTATTAGTATATGGATTATGAAAGGTTCCCGAGTCTTAACCATGGTAACATTTATGCCATTTACGGAGGTACGGAGGTACGTACATCTTTACAATGATAAATGGTAAACGGTACAGTATTACGTACTAATATTTATACGCGGATAAAAAAAATTACATAATACTTGTCGTTGTCTGGTTGTTCTTTCTGCAGAATTAGAATTTCTAACAATCATTAATAAGTACAAACTTTACTTGTATTAGGGATAATGTAAGTAGAGTAAATATCTAAAATAACAACGCATGAAGATCTAATTTTAGATACCTAAGGTGGCTACTTTAGATGGTAACTACTCAAAATACAACACACCCACTTTAAATCTATCCAAAAAAAAAATCAGAATCGTTCTATTGTAGATGATTAGATCCATTATTATAGAACAGATAATTCATCTAGCAAATTTTTAGAGATTTTGAACATGCACTCTAGGTAACAGTCTTCTCTGGTCGATTACGAACAGTGTTTTGTCCCGACAGGCCACTTACCCGACATCACATAGGGTTAGGGTTATCATTTGATTCGCTGCGGGTATATATTTTTAGAAATTTGTCACCCTTGTGATGTCGGTTAAATGGCCTGTCGGATAAATAACTTTTGGGGAATCGTACCATAACCGTTTATTACAGTATTATGACTATTGATGTAAATCATGATATCCAACGCTGCCTGTCAAAAATAGTTATAATATAAACTATTGCATCGATATACAGATTAACACGTATCAAAAGATATCGGTATGTATTTTTATGAAAAAATACGTACGTATTAAATGTATGGGTTAAGTGTTGGAAATTGACAACTTTTTCAAATGAACTTTTTTTATATAAATCAATTTAGAATAAGATTAGGATTATTTTTTTACTTAAGACACAAAAGTAGTTGTAGTAATAAAAGTTTGCAGTATAGCTCTTTAAGTTTGTATTTTCCTATGATTTATTACTGTATTATAAGATTTATAACATAAAAATTGAATTTTTTTTTGTCAATTTCGTCCCTTTTCTTAATATGATAAGCACAAATTCGGCGTATTCTGACTTAGAAAACATAGGGCCGAAAATTTCACCGAAATTTGTTGTCCAATTTTGATTACTCTTACGTCCTAATTAACGTTTGGGTGTATAAATGCTATTTGCAGGATAGTTTAGAGCCTGGAATATCACATGTTAATCGGGCAGGGCAGGCCAAATATCAAGGTTACTTATTTTAGTCATTAATATAATCTCCTAAAAGGGAAGATTAATATAAGGTACGTACTGTACGTTGAAATTTATGTGGGTATTAAAGTTAGGGTTATACAAACAATTTATCAAATTTTGCACTCTACTTTTAGAAAACTCTGGCACTAAAACTAATGTTAAAAATTGGGTAATGTCAGGGTAAGCGTCAATAATATTTTTTGTCCAACTTATCTATTGTGATAATGATAATGTTCACCGACAATCCGTTTGAATAAATAAGTGAATCCATTATAATACATTTTAATATATACTTTGATATAATTAGTCAGTGCAGATAGTACACATACGAAAAAAGAAATATTAATAACTCGAAATTAAATTAAGACTAATTGCCTTAATACATTAATTAAAAATGTTTAACATCTAATTTTGTATATAATTTAAATATTATTTATGTACCATTTGTTATGTAACCTTTGTTTTTTCTTTTTTCTAATACATACAGAAAGTATAGACTTCAGCTCAGGGTTTATTCCCGAATTAATCCGCATTTAAATGGGTCGAATTCATTGAGTTGTCATTGAGTTGTCATTGAGTTATAATAATGCATTCTTAAATAAAGTTATGAATTATCAACACAAAAACAGAAATAGCTTAACTTATTTGGAAAGTTTTATAAATAAAGACTAACCAGGAATACAAGGGATTTTCTATGTATCGGTATTATATTTAAACCAATTTAGGATAAGGCTTGGTTAGAATGTATATCTATTCGTGCACATGCTTTAGAATGTTTTGTCATACTTTATGATTGAGCGAATTTCGTGCGTAAACACATAAACAATAATTAGTCCTAATTTGGACATAAGATTTCAATTTAAAATAATCCGAGATCAGATTTCTTCACGGCCACCATTTTCAATTATGTCTTTCATAAAAGATGCTTTCGCTAAGGTCAAAACCAACGTTGAGTATTTTGGTGAAAAAGATTGGCATAATTGGGGTCAAAACCAGAAATGTACTCCCGCTGAAATCTTTCGACCTGTTAATTTACATGATTTAAAAACAATCGTCAAAAAAGCAAAAGAAAATAAAAAAAAAATTCGGTGTGCTGCCGCTGGTCATTCTTGGAGTAGTCTTAGCGTAACTAATGATTATTTAGTTATAGTAACTGAGTTGAAGGATATTAAGATTCAATATAATGAAAAGTTGAAAACTTGGACAGTCACCACAGAAGCAGGTAAGGGAATTCTTAAATGTTATCAGATTCATATTTCGGTCATTTTTTAATAATTTATTTATCCAATCTGATTTATAGGTGTATACCTAAAAGATCTTGATGACAAGTTAAGGAAACATGACCCTCCATTAACGTTAGATTCTGCGACCGTATTGAACTCTGTAACAACCTCTGGCATTGTAGCAACTGGTTCTCATGGTGCAAAATGTGCAAATTCAAATATCCCGGAAAAAGTAATCTCTTTTCAAATTGTAACAGCCGATGGTGAACTTCATGAATTTTCTGATGAAATAGATCCTGTTGAAATGAGTGCAGCTAGAGTCAATTTTGGTATTTCGTTTTCATTTTTTAAGCAAAATGGAAATGCATATAAAATCATATACTTATCATAACTGTCCTTTAAAACATTAATTCTACGCTAAAGGTCTCCTAGGGATTATATATAAACTCACTTTTAAAGTCGAACCAATGTTTAATGTGATAATGAAAGATAGCTTTCCGAACATTACAGATTATTGGAAAGCTTCAAACCTCAAAAATGATGTATTGAACAACGAAAGTGTTGAAATTTTTTATTGGCCATTCAATACCCCTGGACTTGATGAAAAGAATGATAAACTTTGGGTAAAAACTTGTAAAAGAACAGATTCAAATGTTACAGTGAGTCAGACCGAGGAGAAATTGTTGTGGGCCTTCCAAAATTTTGAACTCAAATTTGGAGATCATCTTTATGAACATGTCGCCAAAGTTCCAGAATCTACTCCATACATTACTAATCTTCTCTTTGCTGTTGGTGTTGAACATGCAAGTGAAAAGGTTCTACAAGCACCTGATGCTATTCATTATCAGGTATGTTTCCTAAATATTAATTTTAAAATATTTTTTCAAACATTTAAACTTTATTTAAATTTCACAGGGCGGTATCGATAACATTCCTTGTATGGACCTCGAATTTACTTTCAAGGTCAATCATGTAAGTAGATGTTTAAAGCAGAGATTGGAATAAATTACCTAATTGAACATTCACTAGACGTCAATTATTTAAAAAGTTAAAATTATTACGTACATAATATTCTGACTTTATATGTAAAGTATCTTGATGATCTCATTGAATATGATACTCGAAAAATTTGTGCTTATGTTAAATTAAGGATCACTTGCAGTATAGGTATCCTCACACTGAACAATAATACATTTTTAATAATAGAATACCTATAATGCAAGAGATCCTAAATTAATGCTTGAAATTATCAATTCCAATCTCTAATTTAAATACAAATATGAGGTTGATTATAACACGTCAAACTAACGATTATACTAAACAAATCAAGGATTTTTCCAATGTCATCGATGAAATCAATTATATCATTAAACGGGTAATGTTTATAAAAAGTTTATGCAATACAATTTCATACTCGTCAGTAAAATATAATAAAATATTCCTAACCTTTTTTCTCTCGTCTTTTAGGTTTATGAATTTGCTGCAGATAACAAGTATCCATTAAATCTTGCAGCAGAATTTCGAATTAATAAGGCGTCCAAATGTCTACTTGCTTCAACATATGATGAAGATCCAAATGCGTATTACTGCTCACTCGAAGTCTTATCTGTTAATGGCACTCAAGGTTTCCTTGAATTTTCTATTGAATTGGCTGAAAGATGGATGAAGAAATATAATGGTCAGCCACATTGGGGTAAAATGTGGGAACATGTACCTGATATTGTTCCATATGCACGTAAACATATGGGAAAACGACTGAATACGTTTGAAAATGTTAGGGCGAAGTACGATCCTAATGAAATGTTCTTTGACAATAAGTCTTTGAGACAACTTTTTGGCAAATAATATAAATGTAATTTTTTTTGAGAGTAATATGATTATATTTATTAACAAATCTCTATGCCCTTATTAATATTATAAAAGCATGAACTATTCTTTTTTTTTTTTTGTAACATACTGGATAATAACATAAATAATTTTGTTAATAATTTTTGTGAAATCAGTAGTTTGACTTAAATTATAAATGTAAAAAATTATTATCATTATTAAAATAATCATATTTTGTTGTGCATCTGATTAAACCATTTTAATTTGGATCTTTATTTCAACGCATAATTCTTTATACAGAATTTTTTTAAAAGGTTCATCTCATTTAGATTTTGCACCGACAAGTCTATACAATCTCTGTCTTGATATGATTGATTAACAGAATTTATCCGTAGTTAATCACAATTTTTCTTATTATTCATTTGTAATTCTTCGATTAAATTTTTAATTTTTTATCTTACCCTATTAACAACTATATATTTATATATAAGTCCTTTGTAATCTACTATAAATCCAGAAGTCAATACTAATATAAACTAACCTTTAGACTGATTTAGACATTATTCTACTACAAAAAACACAATACTAATACTTATTTGCTTTGGATATCAAATTCTTAACTTTTTAAAACCTATTATTAAAGATTTTTACTTTAGTTCTATAATCGAATTTATAACAATTAATATATTAATTTTTAAATGTTTTACTTCAACCTATAACAAGTAAAAAATCTAGTTTTTTTTATAAATTTATTTTAAAATATTATATCTTTTAAAAACAACTAAAATTCTTTTTAATATTTTTTTTAAAACTCTTAAAAGATTATTTATTAAATTTATCGTCTCTTCTTTATTATGTTTATAATAAAAAATTATTTAATTTATATAATTTTATTCATATATTATATAAAATTAAATTAATTATAAATAAAATACAAAAGGCTCTAATAAGCTATAAGTCAAAGGTAAATTGGTTTTAAGAATAAGTAAATATTAAATATTTGTTAACTAAATAATTGTTCTAAAATATTTTTATAATACAAATTAGAAAATATTACAAAGAATTTAAATAATAGAATTTATAGTTAACTTGCAAACATCTAGTATATAATTTAATTATAAATAAATTATTTAAATAAATATCAAAATGTATATAATTAGTATATATTTTATATGCAATGTATGCAAAAAATAATGTAGATGCCATTAGAAATAGTTATAAAAGTTAGCAATCTATGTTGAGTTTATATAGCCTAGATTAGATAATAAAATAGCTTTGTAAAAATATATATAAAGTTTGGTAATCATTACAAGTTATAAAAAAAAATATACATTTTATAAAAAACTACTATTTACATTATGAATTTTGTTATTTAAATTATGATAACTAATATTATCTTTTAATTTATAAGTTTTTTTAGATAAATTTAATTAAAACTTATTATTATTATTATATATTATTATTTATAATGCTATTTTATGGGTGTGGGTCCCATAGCTTAATTGTTAAGCTCCCATACCCCCACAGTCAAGGTCAATAGTTCAAGTCCGGCTGGAGGCAAAATCAAAAAGATTTTAGCCTCTGTAACCTATAAGGAGCCAGTAATTGAACACGAA